CACCGCCTAATGCGCTTCCGTTGGCGCGCTCGTGTCGCGCGCCAACGCACCCATGGCTTGAGCGATGTCGGGCCGCGTGCACACGCTCAAGTACAACAAGCTTCCAATAAGCTCGCTGTAGGGAAATATCGCCTTGTCGAGCGGCTCACCCTCTCGTGTCAAGTTCTCCCCCGCACCGAGAGGGACCGAGCGCGCGCGTGCGCCCGCCAATCCGTGCCGCCCAAGAAGCTCCCTCGTAAGCTTCTTTTGCGTGAGCTTCAAAGTGCGCGCCTCCCAGTAGCGCGCCAACTCCAACGAGAAAGTAGGTCGCTTCCCCCAAGTCGCGCACGTCAAACTTCTCTGCCATGTGCGCCTTCACCTTTGCAATCCGCCCCGCCCCACGAGAATGCCGTCCACCCACACACGGAGGGAAACCCGCTCCCCGACCACCACTCCCGTAAAGAGCGCCGCGTCCGCCGAGGACGCCACGAACTCAAAGTTCCCGAGCTCCTCCTTCAAGCGCGTGTGCCACGCATGCGGCGCTTGGCGCAACCCGTACAAGGTACGCTTGAGATGGCAAACCACGTTGGGCCCGCCTTGCTCGTACCCCTCCGGTTGTTGATTTCCTCCTCGAGCTCCCCGTTGAGAAACGACGTCTTGACGTCCAATTGGTGAAGCTTCAAGTCGCGTTTCGCGACTACCTATAGGAGCGTCCGCAAGGTGGTGTGCTTGCTCACGGGGGCATAGACCTCCTCAAAGTCTATCCCTTGCTTTTGCAAGTACCCCTTTGCCACCACCCGAGACTTGTACCGCTCCACGTTCCCAAGCGCATCCCGCTTAATCTTGTAAACCCACTTTATGGGAACCCGCTTCATTCCCTCCGGTTTCGACAAGCTCCCACGTCCCGTTCTCCAACAAAGACCGCATTTGCTCGTCCAAGGACTTCCGCCAAAGCTCCCTCTCTTCTCCGCCTACGGCTTTTTAATACGTTTGCAGCTCCGGATGCCTCCCTAACCCCTTGGGATGCTCCCCCGTTTCCGCCGCCAGATTCGCTCAAAACCATTCTCCGGGCGCCCCCCTTTTGCGTGCGGGGTATCTCCTCGCCGCCTCCTCTTGAGCGCCGTCCCCTTCAACGGAATCCTCGCTCCCGGTGTCGGCCTCCCCCGTAGGAGTAGCCCCTACACCGGGCTGAGTGTCGGCTTCCTTCGTAAGGGTAGCCTCTACACCCATCCGAGTCGGGGGGTTAACACGACTCGGGCCGCGAGCACGCCCCTCCTCCTTCCCCGGATCGGGGCCAAGCTCAAAGATCTTGGAGGGCCCACGCTCATCCACGATGACGTCGCGAGAAGTCAACACCCTTCCATCCCGCTCGCGGAAATTGGTACGAGCTGGAGTTGGGCTCGTAGCCCAAAAACAACCCCTCGCTCGCTCATCGGCTCCATCTTCTTCCGGTGTCCCTTGGGCACGTGGATGTAGGCCCGCGCCCCAAACACCCGCAAGTGGCAAAGGTTTGGCTTCTCCCCATAGAACATCTCTCACGGGGTCTTGCCGTGCACGCTCGATGGAACCCGGTTCCGGGTGTAGTTGGCCGTCACCGTCGCCTCCGCCCACAACTCCGGCCCCAACCCGGCGTCCTCTGGCAAATCCTGTGCTCTTTCCTCGAGCGTCCGGTTCAACCACTCCGCCGAACCGTTTTGTTCGGGAGAGTGCCCCGCCGAGGTCCGGTGCACCGTCCCTCTCTTCCCGAGGAGCGACGTCATCCCCTCGTTGACATACTCCCCGCCCCGGTCAGTTTCCACCCCCTTGACCTTCTTCCCGGATTGCAACTCCAAGCGGGCAAACACGCTCTCCGTGACCGCCGTAACGTCGCTCTTCCGCTTCAGCGGTTGCACCACCAAAAGCTTGCTATAGTCGTCTAAAAAAGTGGCCAAGTACCTTCTCCCCCCCTTTGATGTCACCGGCATCGGCCCGCACACGTCCATGTGCACGAGCTCGAGGGGTTCTTTGCTGGCCTTGGAGTCCGACTCCGTGTGGAAGGGCTCACGGGTTTGCTTTCCAATGATGCAAGGCGCGCACAGCGAGGTTCTCTTCTTCCGGAATGCCTCCGCTTTGACTCCCACACCTCGGACCGAGCCCCCCTCAACCATCTTGGATAGGTTTTCGTACCCGGCGTGCCCCAACCTCCGGTGCCACAACACCGGGCTCTCGGCTTCCCTCACGAGCAAGCACGTGTCCTCCCACGTGGGCTTCGGTTGGCACCCCATGGAGATGCCCTCCGCATTCTCCTCCGCTTGAAACACAACCTCTCCATCCATGAAAACCTCGCACACCTTCCCGCGAAACACAACCTCCGCTCCTAACGCGGTTGCTTTTTTCACCGAAAAGAGGTTCTCGGCTACACAGGGAACATAGGCAACCTCACGGAGAATAGTGACTTGCTCACCTCCGGGCGTCTCGCATCGTAACTCCACCGTGCCCGCCCCGACTACCTCAAGGAACCCCTGTTTCCAAACTTGATTGCACGGGTCCCCGGCTCAAGCATTCTCAACGTTGAGAAGACACACCTTGTCCCCATTCATGTGTTGGCTAGCCCCGGAGTCAACAATCCACCTTCCGTTCTCCGCCCCTTCTTCGGCTACAAAGGCAATCCCTTGCCGGCCCCCAATTTCTTCCTTCTTTGGGCAATCCTTTTTCAATTGGTCCGACCTACGGCAAGTGTAGCACTTCTTCCCCGTCTTGGGCTTCTCGGGCTCCCAAGCCCCGGACCGGCACTCGTTTGCAAAGTGCCCCAACTTTCCACACCTGTGGGAAACCATGAAAGCCTTTCCCGGACCACCCTTGCCCTTACCGGCGAAGTTGCCACCCTTGGCCACGTAGGCCACCGCCGTTGCCGAGCTCGAGGCCCCGCTATCTTGCTCCCCAAGAAGCCCATGCCCTTGCTCAAAAACTTGCATCGTCGGAAGAAGCTCTTTCACCGGGTCTTTCTTGGTGGTTGTCAACACCGTTACTACCCCCTCAAACCGGCTTGACAACCCGGCAAGCACGGCTAAAGGATAGGTCATCCGGCTTCATGTCCGAGCCGGCGGCTAGCAAATCCCGGTAAAGGTCTTGGGCTCTAACTACATAAGTGGCAACGGACTCACCGGGTTGCATCTTGAGGGTGCTCAACTCATACCGGAGTTTCAACTTCCGAGCCGCAGTTTTGTTCTGATAGGTCTTTCCAGCGCGTCGCATGCTACCTGGGCATTCTCAGCGTCTAAAATTGCCCCAAGATGTTGTTGCCAGACGTGCAAACGTATCAAAGCTTTTGCTTCCTCGGTCCTCTTTGCATCACCGGCGGGGTCCGTAACCCCTTTCCACAACTTCTTGTGAGTCAAGAGAAGTTGCATCCTCCGTGACCACACCGTACAATTGTCAACATCTAAAGGCTCTATGTGGACCTTGAGTCCTTCAACCATCTTTACCGCTGGCAAACAAACAACTCTTCTTGGGCTGGGCACTCCTTTGTGCCGAGCAGTGGTTTGTGCTACTCCACTCCTTTAGCCCCCACTGGAATACCTCTCACCAACCTAAAATTGTTGTTGCTAGCAACGGCTTACTACTCTCCCCTCACTCCCTAGCGTCGTAGGCCCATAACCTGTTGAAAGCAAGCGCCTTTCAAGTGTACAACGACTAGGAATGAGTGGGGTTCTTTCACATGTAAGTCAAGTCTTATAGCCTAGCTCAAGCCTAGCTATTACCCTAGGTGTTTCAATCGACAAATTGACGGTCTCTTTCGACGTTGCCTACAAATGAACCAATCGAACGGCTGCATCGAAGAACCCATACACATCATTGAAGATCTTACCCATGCACAATGGACTCAATCCTACGGCTTACCTTTTCGCACATCTTCGGTGGATATTCAATCATGCAAGCTCACAATCGTACGGCCGACCTTATGCATCAAACAACCTACAGTTCTATGAACAAGAAATCATAGGATATTAGGGCGTACTCAACGCTAGTACCGCCCAAATCTAACATACCCCGACCACTAGTAGTACGGTACTACCGACCACTAGTAGTATAGTGCCCCGGTCACAAGTCCGAGTGGACTACAGGTCGTATTGTAAGTGGTATAGTGACCGTCTGATGGAAAGGGGTCCTTATAGTTGAAGCGACTAGTGGGTGGTGGAAGTAGACCCGACCTAGGCTGAGGTACACCTAGCTACGGGATGTGAGTGACATTGGACTGTTGTCATGCAATGTATATTCATTCGAAGAGATGCTTGAAGGGAGAAAAGCGCTTCTCTGTGAAGGCGTTTATGTGTGAGGGTGGTTATACTTTAGCTTATGACAAGCATGAGTGAATGATTTCAACAAGTCCGACCAATTGTCACCTCCAAGTTGAGGTATAACAATCTTGTCAATACCCGCCATCTCCTTTGCGGTAATGCTTCCTTTATTGCAAAGTGTAATTAAAGCGTAAATGCGCTAAACTCACCTCATGCTTCTCTCAGTAATCGTTTTCAACTCCACAATACCCCTCATCATCTCCTTTACCTAGAAAGCGTTGTTGTGGGCCCCATACTTGTTAAAATCATACGTTCATGCTTGGAACCTACAAAGGATTCAACCACCCTCACATACAAGCGCCTTTACAAAAGGAGCGCACTAGCTCTCACCAAGCATCTCTTAGTATGGATGAGTGGGGTTCTTTTCGTGTAGTCAAGTCTTGTAACCTACCTCAAGTCCAGCTTTAACCCTAAATATTTCAATCAAGAAAGCGACGATCCCTATTCGTCGCTGCCTACTAGAAGAACCCATCGATTGGCTACACCGAATACACATTACAAAAGAACCCTTTCACAATGGACTCGACCCTATGGCTTACTTTCCGCGCATCTCACGGGGAATATGCAATCGTGCAAGCTCACAATCGTACGGCCGACCTTATGCAACAAACCTACGATTTTAAGGACGACTATATCACAGTACGCTCCAGGAGGAACATTAGAGCGTATCCAAGGCTAGTACCTCCAAAATCTAGTATAAGGAGATACAACGAAACTGGTCTCTAATCCCGCCTTTTTCTATCACCATTTGGCCGTCGATCAATTTCACATCTTAATAACGTGCATGAGTTGTGACGATGATTTCATCATAAAAAAGATTCTTATTTGAGCTTCCAAGTACCTACATAGTTCTTTGAAAATCCTTCTTTCAGAGCCTATCTTACCAAAAACAATAGGCAGCGACATTTCTGCAGGTACGCGCCTTATCTTTTCCCGGAAAGATACGTAGCTGGATCAATCTGTTCGAGCCTATATGGAATGGAGGAAAGCTAAGTTTCAGAAGTTGACGACGAACGGGCCTTTGGTCATATCTTCACCAAAATGAAAATTAAAGCAGACAACATCATTGTAGGGCCAATATCAAAACTGAGTTTCAAAGCATTATATATTTTAGAGCCGCCGAAATCTAAACGGAAAAGGACTTTGTAATGGAAGGTACGGCATTTGCTGGCTTCTTTCATGTTTGCAAATGTATTAAATCCAGTAAAGCTCCCGTAAAGCTTTGATTCTTCAATATGCTTGCAAGGTTCCGTGGGTCGGCTGTGAAGGATATTTTGGTGGTTGTCGGGCTCATGGTATAGATTGTTGAGATTCACCTTGT